GTTTTATTATGGAAACTTTCAAACTAAAAAGAGAAGACCAAATAATATAATGAACTCGCATCATCCAGCTTTGACATTTTCCCACATTTAACAATTATAATCTAATTTCACCTTTTGTGTGTGTGTATATGGGGTTGCTTGAATATTTTAAAGCAAATCCCATTGATTATATCATCTAACCTATAAATACTTTAGTAGGTTTTGTTTTTAAAAACATAACTGCCAATCTATTATTATACCCAACAGAATTACATTATCCCTTAATATCATCTGATTTCTAACATACGTTGTAATTTCCCAAATAGTTCTAGGGATGTCTGTTACATTTTGGTTGTTGTACTCAAAAGGCAAACATAGCATACACATGGCTCTTGGTTGGTTTGATATAGTAAAGCCCTGAGAAATTTGGTGTTCTCAGCCACTTTTTTGTACTCCAATAGCTTTATTGAAGGAATCAGAACCTATTAGATGAGTAGAATTTTAAAAAGACTCTATTAGTCTGTTTCGTGTTGTTATAACAAAATACTCAAGGTTCTCTCAGTTTACGACTCTGGTGGCTCGAACATCCAGACAACGTGTTGTCTGGCAAAGGTGTGGCTGTGTCACCACATGGAAGAGAAGCAGGAAAGGAAATGGCTACATTTAGAAGAGGCCAACTATATGGTACGGCCTTTACTTTTCTTTACAATGACTCATTCCTGCAAGAACTAACCCAGTCATGGGAGAGCTACATCAATCCCTTCTGAGTGCAATGCCCCCACTACCCAAACATCTTTCACTTAGTGCTGCCCATTAAAGATTCAGTGATTCTCATCACTGTTACGCTAGGGACCAAGCTTCCAGCACAGGGCTCTCTGTGGGACCCACTCAAGTCATGCAAGGCAGACATGTGGGGCAGAGAGGGCGACTGAGGTACCAAGAGCAGGAAAAGCTGAAGTGGGAGTAAGAACTGGGAGATGAGGTGCCTGAGAAAATGCTGAGTACTGTAACTGCAGCAGGCTCCCAACATCTGGAATGAAGCTACCTGGCTTTCAAACATCGGCTCCTAGGTGGCCTGGGGAAAAGCTCTTAAACAAGTTTTATCAGGTATAAATATGGGATTTACATCTATGCCTACCTTTTTTACATTTTGCCTTAGGGATTCAATGAAAGTACGCTTGCAAGTGCCTAATAAATGCACAAGCCAGTCAGCTATTTCAAGGACACCTGGGAAATGAAACCTCGCAGCGTGGAATGAGCTGGATCTGGTAACTGGTGAATGTGTTGATGAATGACAGTCAGACAAGAGAAGACCCACTGATAACCAACATTTTAAATTCTACTCCTAGGACCCACCTGCCAAAACATAAATGTGCTCTCTCTCTTGCTCTCCCTCTTCCCCCACAGAGCCCTCAAAGGATGATCAAACAGAATAAAGGCTTAGGGGGAGACAAACAGACCAGGAATTTTGTCTTCAACTGGATACACTGAATATATTGAAGGAATATTGATGTGACCACTTAGAATTTGAACATTTGAGTTTTGGATTGTAGAAATAGCAAAATTAGGTCTATAGGTTCAAGGGCCACTCATGCTGAGACGATAGTGATAGTTAAATCAGTAGCAACGGTAGAGTGTGAGGGCACAAGGCTTTCACTGCAGTGCTCTGGGAGGCTGGGGCTGGAGAATCACAAAGTAAAGCTCAGCCTCCACGATGTAGTGAGGTCATGTCTCAAGACAAAAACAACAAAAAAAGTTGGGGTGTAGCTTAGCAGTAAATCCCTGGGTTCAATCCTCAGAATAATTAAAAAGAAAAGAAAAAAATCAGTAGTAAGATAAAAATCACAAGTACAAAAGTTCAGATGAAAAAGAACCAATTAAAACCCCCAAACAAAACAAATAAACACCCCTAAACTCAAATTGGTAAAGCCTGCCTGAACACTCTGATGGCTATTTGGGGCCATGAGGAAGGGAGGTTAGCATATAACACTGCTGTGTTTGAATGCAGGCAAGGGGTTCGGTCACACCAGGGTCCCAGAAGCCAATGGTTTCTAAGGAGACAATGCCTCAGTGCCAAACACAAAGCTCAGAAAGAAGACGACCAGGAAGCAGTGGCTGATTTGGGTATTACCAAGTAATTTAAGACCCAGGCTAAGTCTAGGGAATGTGTTCTAAATGCAAATCTGGCAGTTGTCAGCATAAAAGCAGAAATTAGAGACATTCAAGTGAAATTAACAGAAAGAGAAGAGAGAGAACAATGAACAATGAGTGCAAAGAATCTTGGGAAGTCATTGCCTTGAACACAAGAAGTGGAGAAACCCCAACACTATGAAAATGCCATCAGGTTTGATGACAGGGAGTTACTGGTCATCTATGAGAGCTACAGAAGGGAATGGTTCATTTATGAATATACATGCATGAATGAAAAACCTTGTGAGTATATATGTAATTTGTGCAAAAGGGCTTGACTCATAGCGTGAACTCAATCCCTTGAGAACTGAATTATCAAACCTACTACCTGATGCAAGGAACCAAAGCCAAGCAATTAAATTACATCAGAGTGATTTGCATCCATGGTAAAGAAGCTGGCTGTATTCAATCCCAGTTGAAAAAACTACAAGTCTCATTAGATAGTCTAGCCTCAAAACTGCTCAGCTAGATGCTAGATAGAAAACTAGACACATGTCTTCCCCAGCAAGCATAAATCCTAAGCACAGGCTCAATTCAAGAACCTCAGGGTTAAGACTTCAGTCTAACACGCTTCCTGAGGAATACCATTTGGTCATAAAGTGTTCTGGGAGAGCTGCCTGTAAATTTCAGATAAGTAGGCTTACATTTTCTTCTTGTTTAAAGGCAAGATGCTAAGTTGATTGTTTAAGGAAAGCCTCAGACAGTATTGCAGAGTTCTGGAATGGCTGGTGCGGCCACTCAGCTTGTTCCTATGGATATCTTTCTCAGATGCATATTTATTGGTAACAAGCAACCAGCTGGGAGGTCTGGTTCAGGCTGTGTCTGGGGGCTGAGGAGCAAAGTCTAATGACATCATGGGTAGGGCTGCAGTGACGGATGCGTGAGTGGTTACTGTCAGTTTCCTTCATGGCTATGCTCATGTTGCAGACATATGTGAGAATGTATGCATTCCATCTTGCAACTCGGTTTAGTCTACAACAACCAGTCCTTGCTCTGTTCTCTATTTCTGTTCTTCTCCATGAGCAAAGGGTTTTACAGCTGGGTTACAGGCAGGGCTCAACAAAACTTCCTGTCCTCTCCTGGCAATGTAGGCCCATTTACGGAGAGGAGAGAGAATCCTAACTTCAAGAGCCAAAAGATGAGGCCAAAGGAATTCCATGTCTTTAAATTTCTGTAATCTGTGAACAGGGGCCAAGTTACACTCTCTATTTATTTCTAAGTAGCCTTCACTGACACACAGGGGCTTTTCCATTGGATAGATGGTAACATATATTATGCTTGCATTTGGAGACAACAGTTGATTTTCTCACATGGACAACTGGTATCTGAAGTAGACTATGGAGAACACAGAGAGTGACTGCTATTGTTTCACTTAAAAGTAAAAACAGAACCACTTCATTGAAATGCATCATAAAAGTTCTGCCTTCTAAAGGCTTTGTGCATATGGTTGACATTTGATGTACCCAGTCCTCACAGTGGGTTCCTATTGGAGGCACCACATCTGCTTAAGAGTTAAAACAGGTGTTCTCGTCAGCCATTCACAAGACTTGCACGGGCAATTGTGGGGCGTTGATGTCTGGGAATGACTTTGCATCACAGAAACAACTTTGAGCACAACAGAATCATAATTCAAAGATAGGTGTCCTCTCTTCTCAGAGCAGTGAGACTCACACCAGCCCACAGACACTACAACTGTAGAATTGTTAACTTATGGTATTTTAAGCCCTTAGGTTTGTCATACTTTGTAACCACAGCAACAGGAAACTAACATGTGCTACCAGAAAGTAGAAAGCACTTCATGTAACCCAGGGCAGAACAGGCCCTTGGTGTTTTTGGTTTTCATTCATTGATCTTTTTCCTAGCTAAACTCTAGCATCCAACTGATGGCTAATCCACAGAAAAATGATGTAAAATTTCATAGTACCTTCAAAATGTGTGTCTCATCTAAAGATCAGCTGAAAAACTAATCTTGTATTTCCCCTCCCATTTTTACTTCAGAGGAATATAGCGTTCTTGTTAGAAACTGCAATGCTTTTCTAGAGGACCTGCATTAATATTATTTTAAAATCTGCTTTTTAAAGTTTCCCTGTTCTTTTTCCTTCAAAACATCCCTGTGAATGTTTGGATAATCTCCTGAGACAACCTAAATCTAGCTCCCAGATTACACCTATTTTTCTTCTCTACCCCAAACATCGTTCAGGGAAGACTTGCTAACACTTGACACAGTGCAAAGGTGAACAGTCCTGAACTAGGTGAGCTATTCAGTGAAAATGCTAGGACTTGGATAATGTAAGGACATGAACAGATTTTCCATGCATCTTATGCATTTTTGGTTTGCTTGTATGTTAGTTTTGCTTTCAACAGAAAAAAAAGTGGCAAGAGATCCTTTGAGTACATACATGTATTATGCACTTGAGTTCAGAATCCTTTTATGTGAAGATTTTCAGAATCTCCTTGGAGGGAGAATATATCAAAGTTCTCTGCCAAGGGGATGGGGATGCAGCTCAGTGGTAGAGTACTTGCCTACAATGTGGAAGACTCTGGGTTCAATCCTCAGCACATCAATCCATCTATCCATCAATCCATCTATCCCCATGCTTAAAGGTAAATTAAAGTGCATTCAGCCTCATTTTTATCCATTTTGCTTCTAATGACCGAAAAATATTATTTCTCTACCAAAGGACCAACAACGAGTCACCAGATGGGGTGAGTTACAGAAACCAGGAGATGGGTGGGTGGGGCAGGCTATGACTGTATGAGAAATAGGAATAAGAAGAGGGAGGAATGATTTAACCGCCAGATAAAGGTAAAAACAGAATAGTAATGCTTACCCTCATGTCTCCATTCATAGTTTTTGGTGTGTGATTAAATGCATGTGAAGGATCCTTGTTGTACACTTTGAGGAGTGATCTGTCCTGAATATGCCTGGAATAAAAAAATCAATAATTATAGCACACAAAAGAAGTTTGAGTTTGGCCATTTTCTGTCTGCTTTTATGGATCAGGTAAAAGCCAGGAACAGACAGTCCAGCAATTTTTTTTTTTTTTTTTTTTTTTTACCATAAGTCAGACAAAAGTCCTTTCACCATAAAATAGCCAGATTTAAGAAAGTAAAGAAGAAAAATGACTTTGGCTTTTCTTCCTTGTCCTGTTCCTCAGGAAAGTGTTATTTTTTCAGTGTAGCTCTCCACCCATAAATATCAGGTAACAAGGACTTTCTTTCAAGATTCCGAGCATGGAAAACCAATGCTTTCAAAAACAATAAACCTCCAGCATTTACAATAAGTTCAAAGAGATTTGATTAATATTTAATTGTTTGATTTTCCCAAACATCTGATTCACTGCTTATGTAATGAATGTGTATATGAATACTCTCTCTTTCTCTCTGTCTCTCCCTCTATCTCTCTCTCTGTCTCTCTCTTTCTCTCTCTCTCTCTCCTTTTCCCTTCTTCCTTCCCTGCCTTTAAACATGCTCAGCAATGGAAACACAAGGTATATGCAGTCTAGGGGGGAAAAAAGTACTGCAGAGATCAAAACTACTATCTTTGCAATGTTTTTTTCCCTTCTACAGTGGATTTTAAAAATACTTTTCTACACACAAATCGAATTATGGGATATAAAGAAATAGCAGCAATACATTCTTTTCTCCTTTTGAACCCAGCTCCTATAACCAATGACTCATACAGTGGTAAAAGATAGAAGCCCGACATCTTGATCAAAGCCTACCTTAAAATTATTTAAGAGCACATGAGTGTTAACAAGGGGCTTCTCCCTCTACTGGCAGCTTATAAGGGTACCCATTACCCTTTCGGCGCCATCTACATTCTACTGCTTCAAGTGCTGGCTGTAGAAATGTGTGCAGAGATGAATCCCTTCTTCCAGGTGCAGCCACATGTTAGCAGCCAGATCCTAATTGTGGGAATCACCAGTTCATGTCTTTGTTTTAAGTGAAGTGGAGGATTCTTTGCACCAGCTTTGTTTCTCCTTTTAAATATCCCCCAGTCATTGCTTTGAAGCAATGGCCAGCCCAAGCTTGCATGGAATCTCCACATTTCAAGGGCCTCATTAGAAGTCTGCCGGAGGGGGGTGTATACAACACTCATTAATAGTAGGGGGCTGGGCTAATAAGAAGGGAAAGTCACAGAGGTAAGGTTGCGTTTGCTAAAGACACTTGCCCTTGGGCTGCAGTCACGTATGAAAGTGAAGAAACTGAAAGCCTCCTTTAAGTCATGAAAAACACTTTCTGCTCTGGTCAAGGTATTAAAAAATACAGGAGTTCGGTTTATGACTCATTTAGAAACATGTCATCTGAGATGAACCAACAGTGAAAGGCCAGGTTGCAGTTACTGTGGCAATGTTTACAGCATGGTGTTCTGACCTGAGCATGCTGTGCTGTTTCCAAGGGACACACATCCAGACGAAGGCAATGGGATGAAATAGGCAAATGCTTGGTACGAACGCACAATACTGAAGGACGTGCAAGGAAATCTGTCTCCAAGTTTAGAAGATTAAGGTCACTGTCTTCAGTCAAAATCTACATAATGCTGCATTTTGTCTTACATAATGCTTGTGAAAACTTCTTCCACCATTCCAAAAACATATATAGTTGAAACATCTTGTATGACAGCAAAAAATAGAATATTAAGGAGGAAGGACAATATATACATATATTCTTGTATGACAGCAAAATATAGGATATTCAAGGAGGAAAGATTATATATATATATATATATATATACTGTCACATGAAAATATTTTCTCCATTTGAACATTTTTATATTTAAATCAAATATAACTAACAAGTACCATTATAAATTTATAAATTAATGACTTTCCATTGAAGAATTTTAAAGGAGACCTTTTTTTAAAAATCAGAACCACAGCTTAAAGACAACATGATTATCATTTTCACAAACATAAACATGTATGCACACAGAATTACTACTGTTTGAAGCATTCACCTCTAGAGTGCTGTTTTTTATCTATTTTTATCATCTAGATTTCCATTAAGAAAAAGGATCATGACCTCTTTCCGCCTGTCCTCCTCCCAAGTCTCTTTGTGATGACTTTCTCAAATAGTTTGAAAAGGAAGTCAAAGGGGCTGTAGTCTGAGACTTGGGAGAAAATAGTAGCTCATTGTGACATGGAATAGCAGATTCAGGCTGCAAGAGTGAGGTCTCATCTTTCACAACAACCCTGTCAGCCTTTAGCTCCATAATCAAGAGTGGCTTTGCTTAGCCTCATGGTTACTTATGGTTACTATCTGCCTCTAACTGTAAAGGAAGGAGTAGAAAGTGATTGCTGGAAAATAACATGTCCACGTGAAAATGCTACATGGGACTATATTACCACAAATGGGTTCTTCAAATATAATGTGATTATCTGCGGTTTAAATTTATGCTTTGTAAATTGAAAAAAATTTTGGTGACAGCCTGATTAATAATTTATTTCAAAACAAGCATGGATTTCCTGATACTCATGAATATTTAAACTCACTTTTAAACAGCAGGAAGGTTACATAACAGACGTAACACCTATACCTTAGGGCATGTATTAACACTGAAAGCCCTAAATTACTCATAGAGCTTGGCACATGCCTCAATGTGTCATTCCTGATCATAGTTAGATATTTATCAGTTTACACTTATTATACTGCAGAGGCACATTTTTAAGAAGTGCTACTCATTGTTTCTATAGTGCAGAAGCAGGAGAGTTTGCTGCCCCCACAGGACAGGACTTGGAGATCTACCCCCTTGATTTGACCCAGAATGTAGGCAGGAAAGTCTGAGGTCCTTAATTGGCTGTGTGCTTTGAGTGAATCCCTTAACTTTGATGTACCTGAGTTTCTGGTTTTAGGAAACAAAAGGGTTGAATCAGTCACTAGGTAATCTTTCTAGTTCTAAACTGTCTGGAGGCTATACTAGCAGCTACTTGTGTGTGTTGATTGGTTGGGACAATTCAGATGGGTCCTTTCCATTCGGTAGACAGTGGCCACTGCAGGCAGTAACAAATGCTTTTGTTTCCTTGCCACTTGCAGTAGCATGAATCTATCTGGCCTAATTTTAGAGTATATCCAACCAGAAGTCCTGGAGAAAGCCCACCTAGAAAGCGAGACACTTGGGTGAAGCAAAATCTAAACAAAATCTAAATGTAACACAGAGGACCAAAACAAGTAAATGATGTAACTACTTACCTCACATCATTTAATTCATAATAGACATTTCTGCTTTCATCTTTGATGTAAATGGCGACACTGGGTGACTCCAGCATTTTCATGGTGAGCTGCTGGGGAAAGGCACTTACAAAGAGAGCACGGATTGTGTCTGCGCTTGTGATTTCATTCGGCATCCTGAGCTGCTTGGTTTCATCTCCATATTGGAGGTAGAGAACCCCTACAGGCAAAAGGGACAGGTATCAGCCAGAGCAAGAATCTCAGGACATGGTGGGTGAACTAAGCCACTTCTGTGAGCATTCAAGTATGTACAGGAAAAGCACAAAAGGTGTATATTGAGGGATGTATGTTTAGATTTTCTAAGAAATGCACTGTAGTATATGGTTATTGCACAAAAACTCCCTTTTATCATTTGGAATCCAGGTATTAAACAGGTTAATTTTGGACTATTTTAAAACCAAAAGGACAAGGAGCTAATAACTTCTGATAGCCTAAGGCAAAAGGCAACACTTAATTCCCTTGGAAGGTGTTTTTAGGACTCTGTCCCCATAGGGTTATTTTTTCTGTGTCTTTCATTAACTAGGAACACACTCATTATAGCAATGGGTAAGCTATAGAGGTTAATTCTTTGTAGTCCATTCAGAAACATTTTAAGTGGCAGTGCTACCGTATTTCTGTGGCTTTAATAGGTAGTTGTTGCATGTTTATACCATATTAAACTATCTGGGAAAAAAGAGTGGCACTCTAGAATTTCAGAAATAAAGTGGTACAAAACAATTACACATAGAAAAATGCAAGTTCCAAATCACAGTGGTCTCCAATGAACCCTGTATCTTCTTACTCCATGGCCCCGTACAGTCCCTTCCCACACTGACTCTGAGTTTGGCCATGTGATTTGCATTGGCCAATGGGAAATTAACAAGGGTGAGACAACACAAAGATTTGATATTCACTTGCACATTGCAGCCCATCCTCTTGGTGGGCTGGGTCTTGGGATGTTCCCTTCTAGAACCCAGCTTTGAGAAATTGAACCAAGGCACATTGAGAGGGCATGTGAAAAGGAACCAGAGTCCTAGATGACTGCTCCAGTTAGGCGCCCTGCTGCCAGAACCAGTGGTTGGCCATGCAAATGAGCAATATGAAAGTGGACTCCCCATCTCAGGAAGCTATCCCAGCTGATGCTGCATAGAAACAAGGTGCCCCCACCTAGCACAGCTAAAATTGCAGAATCAAGCCAATGTATGACTGGAGTTGTTTCAAGCTGCTATGTCTTTGGACATTTGTTATTTGGATTAGACAAGTGAAACTAGCAAGCTAAGATGCTACACAGAATTTAATTCTGACTCTTAGTGAGAATCTACCTGGGTGGATGGCTGTACCTAGGATAAGCTTTGACAGGAGAGACCAAAAATATACTAAAAAGGCCAGGGATATAGCTCATGGAATGATTCCTGCTCGGAAAATGGAAGATCCTGAGTTTGATTCCTAACACCAGAAAATTAATGAAATAAAAATATACAAGACTTCTGTCTAAATATGGCAATTCCTATAACAATTGTATATATTCTATGAATTCCATTAAAATGACAATTGAGTTTAAAGGAGCATAAGTCAAAGAACCAAACTAACAAGAGAAACAGCAGATGAGGGAAAGCTGGTATTCAAATCTTCAAGGGAATAACTCAACATAGGGCCGGAGAAGTTCAGGACACAAGACGCTCGGTCTTTCTAAAGATAGGAATGCAGGGAGAGTTGAGAGCATGAAGAGTTACTGAACTTTCTTTTTTTCTCAGTGGTGCAGCAAGATGTCCTTCTTTACCCCTTCCCCATGCCACCCAGCCAAGGATCTTCCCGCATGCATCCATATCAGGAGACTGAAGAGCCCCAGTCAAAGGCTGGATCCCGCCCGACCAGGCACAGGGGAGAAAGATAACGGAATGCTGGCGCAGGGGCCGCCTCTTCAGTCGGGAGCCCCTGAGAACGTGGAGAAGGCCCAGAGAAGGTGATGTTCAGGTCCGGTCTGTTCCCCCACCTGAAACAGTCACACAGGCCGCCACCATACATAAAATTTTCCAATTGGAATGACCTCATCTCACCATACATTAACAGACTTCCGAAGATTAACAGATATTTTATAAAAACCTTTAACATGCAAAAAAATACCCACAGAAACAAGAACCAGAAACTCAGAAGAGATGAGCCAGATCTGACAGGGCAGCATTTGGAGAGCACTAGTGAGCTCTGAGAACTGCGTAACAGAAACTAAAAATGTAGTGAAGAGAGTCAGTAAAGTCCCAGAAAGTGGAGGAGAGCAGTAGGTGAACTAGAGAATGAAATCAGAGAAGCCACATCCTTGGTGAAGGGAATTTGGATAAAAGACAACAGCAAAATGATAGTTTTCAAAAAACATTGTAAGAATTTTCTTTAGTTCCTTGAAACTAAAGTACATAAGATTGAAAAGGCCCATGAAATGCCCAACACGTTCAGCCTCGTCGCTAAGGCATGGCAAGTGGACAAGGGAAAAACAGAGGTCCCTAAAATCTCCTGGCAACAAGGGTGAGGAGGGTGTGGAGTCACTTTGAAAGATTGGGCATTAGGGCTGGGGATTTAGCTCAGTGGCACAAGCGCCTGCCTTGCAAGCCTGTGGTCGTGAGTTCGATTCCTGGTACCAGTAAAAATACAAAAAAAAAAAAAAAAGGACAAAAATCTCAGGGATGTGCTTCCAGTCTGGCTACACCCATTCAGTCACTGCTTAGGTTCTGTGAAGTCACACTCTGGGTGAGGCCTTCCCGGGCTACTGTACCTGAAAAGGAGCACTGCTGTTTCTAGCATGTCACATCTTGTATCCTCGCTTCACTTCTGTTCCTTAGCATTTTACACGCATGCTTTATAATTCCTACTTTAATTATTGATTTTGTTTACTGTGGATGTTTCCTGCTAGAATGTAAGTGTGATGAGATCAGGGATTTGTTTTATAAATGTGTTTGCCTGCTCTCCTTCATATCTATGAAGTACATAATAGGTTCTCAATAAATATTTGTTGAAAGAATAAATACATAATTTATAAGTCATTACAAAGTCATCTCACACATCAGAGTTGTAAGAGCTTTTGCTAGACGATGTACACAGCTTGGTAGCCTCAATCTTACTATCTATGTTCGTTAGAAACATATCCCCAAAGTGGCTGTTTCTTTATCAGAGAAGTTCTTCTGCATCAGGCATAAGTAAGTCACCGCCCATTCCAGTTTGGATTTTCTGTTTCCTCAGGAAGCAAGTTTTCCAGAATCTCCCTGTGATTATATGTCCCTCCAATTGCAGAGAAAAATCTTTCAAGCCTGCTTGATCACAGATTGTGCAATATTTTCCCCCAAATGGGAGGTGCGGTGACCGTCTCATGGCACTGCTAATGCTATATCAAAAGGCCAAAAACACTCTTGAGGTCTGGGCGCCAACCAGCCTGGGGTGAGGCCACAGCAAATTCTCCATTTATGGCCTCATTCCAGCTCAGTATCACAGTCTGTATCCCGCAAAGGGCCTGGTTTTTATCCCATCTGCCTTCTGTACGGGTGGGTGCTTGAAATAGGATTTGTAGTCTTTGGAATTGGAAAAAAATAAAAGTATGCCTAAACTCCACGTACCTCAGGTCTTACTGGTGCAGGCACCAGCTGGGCACACAGCGCAGTTACAGAACAGGAAAATCTGGAGAGGATGGGGAAGATGCTTTTAAGGAGAAAAGGCTTTTATACTTGATTGGGGAAAGGCATCCAGAATGCTGACCTCGAAGGGAATTCTCTTACTGTACAGTAGCGTTTGGTTGGCACTAGAGTCACATGGTTTCTAGAGTTGGCATCTCTGCCACACGCCAAGTTAGTGCTGGCTGCTCCAGATTCAGAGACTATCCCAGGGACTTCTAGTCATAATTTCCTTCTTATAAATCGGGGACGAGGACAATAGGAGTGCATTTCTAGGATGTATGCCATACATGAGAAACAGAGCGCAAGTACTTCATCCAGAACAGCAGCCCTTGTAAAACTGTTACCATGGTCCCATTTCATAGAAGCGAAATGGAAACTCAGGAATCCAAGTAGCTTGCGTGAAAGTTACATCCAGTTCTGTGCAGTCATAAGGTCGGTGTCTCCCTGGAAATGCACTACTTCTGATAGCCTCCATTTGGCCTCATGTATGGTCTCTCCCTGTCCTCTCAGGATGACCTGAGTGGTTCTCACCCCACGTGCCCCAGGATGTTGAGGGATGATGGGGGCAGCTCAGGAGAAAGATTTCTATCTCTCTCTGAGTGGAAGGGAGTGCTGACACACAGTTGGAAACAATCTACAGGATTCTGGGGAAGAAGAGAACTTGAAAAGCCACCCCAGAGTTCTGAAATGAACCTCCCAAGAATCCTCAACACACACGAGTGCTTCTACCTCAATGGCTTGGCCAAAGCGCGCTGGATTTTAGCTGAGGCCTCTTTGAAATTTTTAAAACAAAGGACATCTGGCCAGTCACCCTTGTGCCCAATAGGAGGTACAGTCAAAATACATGGTGAGGGGGAGGGAGGCGAGGGAGAAGGGCAGGTAAAAAGAATCAATGCATGTTATGCCCATGGACCACCTTACCATGATGAATGTAATCACTATGCACAGCAAACATGTGCTTATAAAATTTTTTAAAAATTAAAATACATGCTGAACATTTAAATTTTAAAAATTAACTGTTCTCTCCCAAAATATCACTCATTGCTTTGAATATACTTATCCCATCATTCTGGACTTTCTGGAAGTCATCTTTCATGAGTGTGTTTATGGATTATGATGAAAGACAACATGAATGCTGCTGCCAGGTGCCAGCCAACAGAAAGGCAGGCTCATAAACACACCATGAGCATCCTCCGCTGCTTTACTCACTGGACCAGCACCACGAGAACCATGAGACTTCTGGCTCTCCCTTAGAGTCACAGTGATCACGAAAGGCAGACAGTTTGAATTGGAGGAGGACGTCGTGGAATCCATGACAGCACACTTACACATACTCATAAAAGAGAACTTCTGGTACTGCTTCACCAAGCAGCAGTAAGGCTGGGATAAGCGTGTTCCAAGTGAACGGGGCGTATCCTGGTGGGGATTAGTGGCCATGTGTCTTTATTAAATTCTTAAAATTTCACATTTACCACATCTTTTGATCATAGTCTGCACATCTTCATTTTCTTGCCAATCTCAGAAT